CAAGCACATTTTCAGACATGCAAAACCAGACAGTTTGCCACCAACAGACCCCACAAAAAAAAAAAAAATCTAAAGATTGTACTTCAGGAAAAAGAAAAGTAATTCCAGACTACAAGAAAGAATCTCTAAGCTTCAAGATGGACTATATTATAATGTGGGAAATCAAAACTAAGATGACATCAGGCAATTAAAATGTCCTGAGAGGTATAAAAAATAGAATTAAAATACAAGACAATGATATCAGATAAATTAGGAGAAATATAATTGCAGTTGCTGTATTCTAAGGTTCTTGTATCTCTGAGAGGAAAATGAAGATATCATTTAACTTAGGCATTGTTAAACTAATAAGCACTTCTTAATTTCTAGGCTAGTGACAAAATGGAAATAACATACACAAATTCCAAGTGGAGGAAAAAAATAGAATGAGAAAAAAGGCAAGAAATAAGAGAAAGAAGGGACAAATAGAAAATAAAAAATACTATAAAAGATTTAAATACATATACATGGGCAATTACATTTATAATTCTTAGACAAAATGCTTCTCATTAAAAGGCAAAGATTGGTATACCAGTGATATGATTTGGCTCTGTGTCCCCACTCAAATCTCACCTTGAATTGTAATAACCCCCATGTGTCAAGGGCAGGGCCAGGTGGAGATAATTGAATCATGGCACCAATTTCCCCCATACTGTTCCCGTGGCACTGAATAAGTCTCATGAGATCTGATGGGTTTATAAATGGGAGTTCACCTACACAAGCTGTCTTGTCTGCTGCCATGTAAGACATGTCTTGCTTCCCCTTTGCCTTCCACCATGATTGTGAGGCCTCCCAGCCATGTGGAACTGTGAGTCAATTAAACCTCTTTCCTTTATAAATTACCCTGTCTCTGATATGTCTTTATTAGCAGCATGAGAACAGACTAATACAAGCAGATAAAATGAAATTAAATTTGACAATAAGCCGTTTGCAAACAGCACATCTAAAACAAGATATAGAGAGGTGAAAAATAAAGGGATGGAAAAGAAAATGTATTTAAGTATTGGCCAAAAGCAAAATATATGGTATAAGATATATTAATCTCAACCATTAAATTTTTAAAAGATCTCTTCATAAATATGAGAAAATAAAGTCACAAAGAAGATATAACAATTGCATATCTGTTTGTACCTCATAACACAGTCTTAAAATACATAATGCAAAAACTGACAAAATTATAAGAAAAGATAATCCAGAATCATAGTGAAAGATTTTTCACACAACTCATTCAATAACTCATTCAATAACTGACATATCTAGCACATAAAAATAAGAATGAATAAGAAAGTTTTGAACAACATAATCAATAAGTCTTACCTAATAGACACATGTAGGATGCTTCACCCAGTTACCATGGAATACATGTTCTTTGCAAACTTGTGCACAGATTGACCATATGCTGAACTATAAAGCAAGTTTCAACAAGTTTCAAAGATTATCATAGAGATTTGCATTATCTCACCACAATGTAATTAAGCTACAAGTCAAAAATGGAAAGTTAACCAGAAAACTCTTGGGTATTTGGAAATTAAGAAATATACTATACACAAATGCCAATTCCAGGTTGATAAAAATATCTAAATTTATAAGGCAAAACAATACAACTCATAAAAGGAAAAATAGGCAAATATCTTAATGACCTCAAGATAAACAATACTTTTTAAAACACGACATATAAAAACAAACCATAAAAAATACAGTTGTTAAATTCAACCACACTGCAGTGAAGAACTTCAGTTCATCAGAAGACACCATCAAGAGTGAAAAGACTAAAAATAAAGATCTTTGAAATATCTGCTGGGCACAGTGGCGCATGCCTGTAATCCCAATACTTTGGGAGGCTGAGGCTGGCAGATCGCTTGAGCCCAAGAGTTTGAGACCAGTCTGGGCAACATGATAAAACCCCATCTCTACAAAAAATACAAAAATCAGTCAGGCGCGGTGGCACACACCTGTAGTCCTAGCTACTCAGGAGAATAATTTGTGCCTGGGAGGCAGAGGTTGCAGTGAGCCAAGATTATGCCACTGCACTCCAGCCTGGGCAACAGAGCAAGACCCTGTCTAGTAAATAAAATAAATTTTACATAATTTCCATGTGTCCTGAAATATCCTCAAAAAAAAAAAAACAAAAAACACAATAGGCACTACCATGAGAAAGGTGATATGGTGAGAAGCAGGGAGGAGGAGTGAGAAGCAATAAAGGTATATATAAGCTCTGAAGGCTTAGTCAACAGGATCTGCTGACAGTTTGAATGTGGATGTGGAAGAAAGAAAAAAGTCAAGGATAACTCCATGATTTTTGACCTACACAAAGGTAAAATTAGCATCCACCAAGGAGCCATGAGGGGGGCCACAGCTGGGGTGTGCTTGGAGGAGTTAGCCTTGGATAGAAGTTTGTGATGATTGTAAGACACTCAGGTAGAGAAGTCGAGGTGGCAACTGAATGTATGAGTGTGGAGTTCGTGAGACAGATCTGTGCTAGGGGTATAAATGAATTTTGGTCAGGAAATGAAAATAGTAGCATTTCCATGAGCTGAGACGGGGAAAGCTGTAGTGGGAGTAGGTTTGGAGAGGTGATCATTTGGCTGTCAGTTTTAGACAGGTTAAATTTGAAAACCCAAGTGGGAATATTGAGGAAGCAGGTCAAAATATGAGTTTAGAGTTCAAAAGAAAGGTCCAGTCTGGAATCGTAAATTTTGGAGTCACCAGTGTCTAGATGATGCTTAAGTGCATATGGCAAGATGAATCACTAATGCACAAGTATGGATAGAGAACATAAGGGGCTGAGTGCAGTGGCTCACACCTATAATCCCAGCACTTTGGGAGGCTGAGGTGGACGGATCACTTGAGGTCAGGAGTTTGAGACCCTGGCCAAGATGGTGAAACCCTGTCTCTACTAAAAATACAAAAATTAGCCAGGTATGGTGGTGGGTGCCTGTAATCCCAGCTACTCGGGAGGCTGAGGCATGAGGATCACTTGAACTCGGGAAGTGGAGGTTTCAGTGAGCCAAGATCACACTGTTGCACCCTAGCCTGGGTGACAAAGCAAGACTCCACCTCAAAAAAAAAAAAAGAGACAGAGAGAGAGAGACCAGAAGGGGCCCAAGAGAAGAGGCTTAGGGCATTCCAACATGAAGAAGCCAGGGAGATGGGATAGGAGGAGAGCCAGAGCAGGACGCCATGCCAGAGGCCAAGAGTAAAAGCATGTCCAGGAGTGATCCACTGTGCCAAAAGCTGTCTGCCATGATGAAAATATCTTCACAACAATTACAAAATAGTTGGTGCAAGTCACTGAAGCCAACAGCAAATATTAAAATCCCAAACCTACGCTATTTCTTTTTTTTTTTTTTTTTTTTTTTTTTTGAGACGGAGTCTCGCTCTGTGGCCCAGGCTGGAGTGCAGTGGCCGAATCTCAGCTCACTGCAAGCTCCGCCTCCCAGGTTCACGCCATTCTCCTGCCTCAGCCTCCCCAGTAGCTGGGACTACAGGCGCTCACCACCTCGCCTGGCTAGTTTTTTGTATTTTTTAGTAGAGACGGAGTTTCACCGTGTTAGCCAGGATGGTCTTGATCTCCTGACCTTATTTCATTCATTTTTTTAAGTTTTAGTTTAAGTTCAGGGGTACAAGTACAGGTTTGTTAGGTAAACTTTTGTCATGGAGGTTTGTTGTACAGAGTATTTCATCACACAGGTATTAAGCCTAGTACCCATTAGTTATTTTTCCTGATCCTCTCCTTCCTCCCACCTTCTACTCTCCAACAGGCCCTAGTGTGTGTCCATGTGTTCTCATCATTTAGCTCCTCTCATCATTTAGGCCCCTCTATGTGTCCGTGTGTTCTCACCATTTAGCTCCCACTTATAAGGGAAAACATGCAATATTGGGTTTTCTGTTTCTGCATTAGTTTGCTAAGAATAATGGCCACCAGTTTCATCCATGTTTCTGCAGAGGACGTAATCTCATTCTTTTTTGTGGCTGCATAGTATTCCATGGTATATATGTACCACATTTTTTTATCCAGTCTATCACTGATTGGCATTTAGTTTGCTATTGTGAATCATGCTGCAATGAACACATCCGTGCATGTGTCTTTATAATAGAATGATTTATATTCCTTTGGGTATATACATTCTTCACATTGAACTTCTTATTCTCATTCTTAATGATTCCATAATGTCCACTGTTCTGTAAAAGTTGCTTCAGTATTTAAATATAAATCGAATCAAACAAACACCCAGAGTGATTAACAGAATAATTAAGGTTGCCAAGCACCAAAAAGATACAGATACTCTCCAAAGGCCTGAGCCGAGAAGACACAAAAGGAAGGGAATTGCAAACTACTTGTTGAAAAAACGTCTCCTATTTGTCTGTTTAGCATCCACTTGATGGTGAATGTACTCTCCTTTGAGAAGATTTTAACATTGCATTTCAGTAGGAATACCCTTAAAAGCAGCATTAATACCTATGATTCAGGAAGACCTTTTTCAGAAATGCCCAGAGCAATGAACCATTGTCTCTCTTCTCCCTAAGAGTCTCCCCTCCTCCTCATCTTCTGTCCCAGAGAGTATTTTCTCAAGCCAGCTGAGGGAGCAGGACTGCACTACCTTGACAAAAATATTCCATTACCTTTAGGTGACCTTTCTCTGAGACTTGGAAATTGAGTGCTTCAACTGTAGGTCAGGCACAGGATGACTTTACTAGTGCTCCCTGAAAGACAGGGCTGATGAATGGCATTTGAACCCTGTTTCCCTAATCCTCCAGGCAGAATTAGAGGCTCTCCATAAGGGTAAGCCTGAATGATTCATGATGCCTGCTTCAGCACAATCACACATCATAGAAATACAAATTGACAGTTCGCACACATTGGCCTCATGGTGGTATTTACTTAAAATCCTCTCAAGTACACTCCCAATGACTGCTGTGGGGACAGCTCTCTCTGGAAGGCTAACAAACAAAGAAGCACTTACTTATCATATCCGGCCACCAGATTTGCAGGTACACGGGAGCCTTTGGAATATTCTGCTCTCTTTGTGCCACTTGGCACTTACCTCCCATTGGTTCAGGCAATTGGTTTGTTGGTTGATTGCGAGGATAATCCTTTAAAAAACAAAGAAACAAAAAAGGTAGTAAAACAGAGAACTTTGGATAACCCCTTTGGCTTGTCCTGGAGTTTAAGTTGGACCAAAAAAATCAAGGCAATGAAACAGTAACAGAGGTGAGGAAGAGATGGACTGTTAATAACATGGTAGGAGAAAACTGGACACACTTGAGTGTGTTCATAAGCTCTCATTGGTGAATCTGTAAAGAGAAAAACTCATATAGAGACCCCCAAGAAAACATCTAAGTCCATTATTTTTCAAAAAAGAAAAGGTGGGTAATATTGAAAAACCAGTAGGCAAGTGTCAATGTTTTTGATCTACCTTTGTGTTCTCCTCACCAGCAACTCCACTGCTTCTACGTCAGAAACAGAGACCGGGCATGGTGGTTTATGCTTGTAATCCCAGCTCTTTGGGAGGCCGTGGCAGGCAGATCACGAGGTCAAGAGATCGAGACCATCTGGCCAACATGGTGAAACCCCGTCTCTACTAAAAATACAAAAATTAACTGGGCATGGTGGCATCCACCTGTAGTCCCAGCTACTTGGGAAACTGAGGCAGAACCTGGGAGGCAGAGATTGCAGTGAACTGACATTGTGCCACTGCACTCTAACCTAGCAACAGAGCAAGACTCCATCTCTCAAAAAAAAGAGAAAGAGAAAAAAAAGAGAGAAAGATAAGAGAAGAAGAAGAGAGAGAGGAAAGAAAGAAAGAAAGAGAGAGAGAGAGAGAGAGGAAGGAAGGAAGGAAGGAAGGAAGGAAGGAAGGAAGGAAGGAAGGAAGGAAGGAAGGAAGGAAGGGAGGGAGGGAGGGAAAGAAAGACTTGTCACTTTGAGAAATATTAAGGTTGCCCACACACTCGCATCCTGATGGCTAACCCTGGATCCAGGAAGAAAAAGAAAGATGTAGTATTTGGAAAAGCATGGAAGTCATGTCAATGAAAGCAGAACCCACTCAGAACTGCATCAATACCAGCTTTTGCATAGACCCCTTTGGTGGTTAAACACGGTGAGAAATAATCTTGTTAGTGGCAGTGGGGAGCTTCATTTCCATTGTGTGTAAGCCCATCCTGTGTTGACTTGAAAGAACTCCCCTTCCCCTTTCTGGCTTTCTCCAACATTCACCCTACTGCTGGCCCCTTTCCTGTCCTGTCCAGAGCATGAAGATGCATCCTTTGGAGATTAAGGAGAAAAGAAAACACCACACAAGCAGATCAAGAGGTGGCAAGGCCCCAGGCAAAAGCCTACAGGAGAGAAACTGCATTCTTCAAGACGCCTGTCTTTACCCTTTGTGCATAACCTAATTAGGTTTTTGCCCTTTTCAAATTCTTTTTTTTTTCTTTTACAGGTGTGTCTGGTTTAATAAAAAGGGAAAGGGTCATCAGGTGGCCACATCCTATCCTTGTCATTCATATCCCCAACCTTCAGATCCTTTCTACCCTCATAAGTTTGAATACGGTCAAAATTAGTTGGGTCAGAAACTGTTGTTGATTATGATTAAAAAGAGATACAAAACTCAGCACCTCCTTCATTGAAAATAAAGGTTGAGAAACGTGATAAGAAAAAACTAAAATATAGCTGCCTGGGGAGATCTTAATCCTTCCACATAGACATCCTCATACCCACAGGAGCCTATGTGGACTAAAACCAAACTGAGTCCATTACTCATTCCCTCTCCAGCTCTTCTTGTGACTCTTCTTAGACTTTTCGGGAGACTTTGAGTGGCTCCTGTATCTGTGACTGTGGTGAGAACCTGGGGACTTGGAACGGGATCTGTGCCGCCTATCTCAGAATCTGCTGTGGTGACGTCTGGGACTCTTGCTCCGATGCCTTTCTTGGCGGGGGAAGAGGCTTCTCCTTTTGGGAGATCGATTCCGCCTTCTGGGAGACAGACTTCTGCTCCTTCTGTAGCACAGTGTGGGAGAGTGACGGGGCTGTCCAAGTCTCCGTAGCTTCTCCGGCGGTGATCAGGTGATGGCACTCTTTCCGACTTCTCATCCTCCTCTTCTTCCTCTTCACTGGACTCCACGCTGTCCATGTCCTCTTCCAGAGCACTAACTCGAGGCTCCAGTTGCTCAGCTTCCTCTAATACCTAGCGTTTCTGTAGCCAGGGCAGAATGATACCACGGACTCTCTCACTGAGCACTAGTTCATCCATAAACTCACCTACATGCATCATTTCAAACCCCCATTTTGGTTCTGGCTCTTGACTTTTCGATAGTCATTGTACAAAGGCTCCAAGTACTTGTAGCAATCAATTGCAGTGCCCGTCAGCCTCATGTAAAGTGCCCCCAACACGCGAACATACTTGAAATCTTCATTTTTGATAAACTCTACAATGATACCTTTCTCGGATTGAACTTGAAGCATCTTCAAGATTAAACACAGAAAGGTGTTGGTTTTATGTTGCCACTATAGACGCCACCCACACACATTAACTCCATGACTTTATTGACTACAAGTTCAGCCATAAGTCCAAAGCACTCCTCTGTCCAGTACTTGAACTCATAGATTCACATTCGAATGATCTTCTCCACCAGATATTGAAGCCTGGTGCAGCCGACGCTGTGTGCATCCTTCAGTGTAAGGTCAGCCATTTTAGAATGCCTTCGATTCTATTTCCGTCGGGTCCTTTAATACGTCACATCCAGGTTCAGAAAAAAAAAAAAAAAACACCTAGAGGGATGGAGAAAGGTGGAAGAAGTTTCACTAAACAGTTCAGGCGGCCATCTTGAAACTGAAACACTGCAGCACTCAAATTCTTAAATAAATTCCACTTACATTTTTTTAAATAGGCACAATATTTTTATTACGATTAATTAGTGATCAATCGCTTTTACCATGTGGATAGCCCCTTTGGCTTAGACACATTGTCCTGAAGTTTACATGGTAGGAAAAAATCAAGGCAATGGAACACTAACAAGGTGGGGACAAGATGGACTACTAATAACACAGCAGAAGAAAGCCGGAGATGCTTGAAAGTGCTGATAAGCACTAAGATGCGTTGTTGACACAGGGCCACATCAGTGCTCTACAATCTGCTTACTGTACTCTGATGGTTGCATAAACAACCTTCTGAGTGACCCCGTGGTGGGCATCAGGGATCTCCTGGGTTCTGATTGGTTGGATGTGCTTATGGTTTGATTGGTCTGAAGTCACAGATGTCCAGTGATAAGAGTATATAGAGTGGCTGTTCTCACAGAAGAAGTTACCAAATCCAATGGTTTGAATCTGTGTCCCCACCCAAATTTCATCTCAAATTGTGATCCCCAGTGTTGGAGGTGTTGGAGATGGAGCCTGGTGGGAGGTAATTGGATCATGGGGTAGGATTTGTCAGGAATGGTTTAGCCCCATCTCACTGGTGCTGTTCTCGTGATAGTGAATTCTCATGGGATCTGGTTGTTTAGAAGTGTGTGGCACCTCATCCCTCTCTCTCTTGCTGTTCTGGCCATGGGAAGTGCCTGCTCTCCCTTCACCTTCCACCATGATTGGAATTTTCCTGAGGCAGAAGCCATCATGCTTCCTGTACAGCCGGTGGAGCCAGGAGCCAATAAAACCTTTTTCTTTATAAATTACGTAGTCTCAGGTATTTCTTTATAGCAATGTGAGAATGGACTAATACACCAAAGTTTTATATTTTATATCAAACATCTATGCCTCACCGTGGCCCTTTACAAGGTAAAGGTTTCTGAGTCATCCAGAGAGCTGCCCTCACCGTGGGCCAGAAGCATGTCTAGGGTACTTCTTAAAGCTGAGGTATCCGATATTTACTCTTCAAAACCTACTCTACTTTGTATTTATTCCTCAAAACCTACTTGTAAAGTGCACCCTCAAAGGTTACACAAGCCCACTGTCTGGCCCTGGAGCCATTTATGACTAATGTCATACAGCTATAATTTAACTGTGCTATAATCAACAAGCTGACAATTCAGCCAAAACTTATGCCTGGCAAGAGCTTATGTACGGCACAGGAAGTGCCATCTGGATGACACAGGAAGTACCCTTGATTGATGGGGGCAGAAGGATTGGTGGAAAGAAGACAAGGGAGTACAAGATGGTGTCACGGAAAAGGTAAAATATTGACTGTGATGTTTCCCCTTTCTCCCGGCTATTAAGTTATAAAGTGTGTGTTCGAGCTTTCAAAACAACCTAGGAATTCCTAGATGTAACTGAGGGTTTACCAGAGATAGGATGACTGACTTTCAGATTTGGAAATAATGAAAGTAAGAACAGCAGAGGCGAACTCTCAGGAAACTGAGACCCGGAAGTTTAATTGCCTGCGAAAGAAACCAAAGTAGAAGAGCTAAACCAAGAAGTTTCCCGCAGCTTCGTTCCCCATGAGCAAGGTCACCAACAAAAAGGGAGAATTTGATGATAGAGGGGATTTTGGCTCCCAGGTGCCACTGCCTGACTTTATGTTGATTGTATGTACATTTTCTTCCCCTCATGTTTCTGACAAAGGCTAACAAAAGAATTGTGTTCACCACACCCGACCCATATCTCAGATAGTTCTAGAGGCATTGGGAAAAGAGAATGAACAGGGCAAGGAAGATTTCAACACTGAAAACCCAGAACCAACAAAATTACTAAAGTCAATGTTTTCCTGGCCAGGATTTAGTCATGATCTTGTTAGATGATCTTGGAGTACAGTAGACAAGTTTGGCCACCTCAGCCTTTTTAATAGTTTGAACCTTTGAGTTTACTTTGGGAAAATACCAACTGTCACCATTCTCAAAGTGTTCATGACAACATTCCATCCTTTAACTACAGTCCTTCATCTGTAGTTGTTTGGTGTATTTATTTTTCAAGCAGGCAAAGCGTGGTACTCAGAAGAGCAGAATCATTCGCAGTTCAATAGAAATGTACAAATAATTAAAAGACATTTGAAAGCTCCACGGGAAATGCTACAGTGGCAGCTCAAACAGTGTTTTACTTCCTATATATCACGGAATATGAGTCAACCCAGCCTAGAGGTTGACCTGAATTCTGGCATAATTACCTAAATGAAAAGTTGGATTTCATCCCAAACTCAATAAGTTGCCCTTCTGATGGGAGTTGCTGCCTTCCAAGGCTGGGAGACCTCTAATTCCCACTAGAGAGACAGCCCTGGCAGTATTCACAGCTGGCTGAGGTCATCTCTGCCCGGTCATTCCTGACTAGATACAGCATGGAATTGGGGGAAAGAACGGGGCTGAGGGTACACGCAGGAGAGAGGTCTGCATTCACCAGGGCT